CATAGTGAGAGAAGGTTACAGATTGGTCCCAAAGCAGTCTAGAGTACACGCTCATGCACCAGTGAGTAATTATGAAGGACTGATTTTTGAATCCACAGCTCAGGAGCATTGAATCCACACTTTATGAACTCTTTACAATGGGATTCTAAGAAATACAAGTGTCTTATTGTAGCCCCCAGACGAAGTCAGGTGGCTACTATTGATTCATGCTCGTGGGCTCCGCCGCCACCGTCGCCGCGTCCGCATCTGTGGACACTTCCTTGTGGACGCAGTACAGGCTGTACTTTTTGACCGATTACTTTCATATTCCGCATGGACATATGTTATACTTATCTTATGACACCTATTGATTTTGGTTGCCATAGCGACAGTATTGGCCGAACAATACGCAAATTTGTACTGAAACAGAAAGATTTGCTTGTGGACGCAGTACAGGCTGGAGAAGTGGGCTTTCGGGGGGCTACACCCATGCGGTCGCGGGTGACTGGACTGTTTAGTTTTATTTAAGCAATTTCTCTCCTGTCTGTGAAACTCAAATCATGAATTATAAAGCCTTAAATAGGGTTACACACAAATAGCCAGATTTGGCTTCTGTGCAGGGGGGTTATGGGCTAAGTGTATCCCATAATGCATCAGGATTTTGTATGCGGAAAGGAAGGAGTGGTTAACGAGACGATGGGCAAGCAAACATTTCATTGTAAATAAAGTTATTTCAGGTTACTGAGGCTTCTGTAATAGGCCAAAATGCACAGCGTAAATGAAGCAAATGCGATCTAACTGCTGATTTATTGGTGCCATTTTGAGCTAATTTGTTACTGTGTTTTTTTGTGATTATGGCCGATGTGTTGTGCCTTTATTCATATCCTTATTCAGAAAATTTATCCTGTTTTGTCATTCTTGACTCATATACGCCTTTCATCTGCTGCCTCCACTGAAAACATCTTCCTTTTGACGTGCCTTAATCTGACAAAACCTCACTGCACTTCCAGTTTTACGAGTACTCGTGCACTGTGACCTGATCCCACAAGTACGTCACTCAAGTGGCCCCTTGACCTCGTATAAGGACTGTAAGTGTGGTAACTGAGACAAAGATTCTATGCTCTACCCAGAAAGGAAGTTTGGTGACCCCCGTGACCCTCCCCATAGCACCACCAACAGGCCAAAGATGCACATACAGTTCTGGCCATGACTTCTGAACCGTGAGTTGGAAATTCAAAAACTTTATGTCTCTTGAATGCTTATGTTAAGCCGAGTCGAACGCACTCTATAATGTAATTTTCCACCTCATTAGATTAAATTAAAATTTTATCAAAAACTGTGTGCTTTGCATCTCTTCCCTCAACCCCGACTTGGGAGAAGTTGGGACAGTAAAGAAAATGCACATAAAAATCTAAAGCAGTGGTTTGTAAATTCACTGTGAAAACGATATGCAGACAAGATATTTAATGCTTTTTCTGTAGGAGTTTTTTTTTTTTTTCTGTAAATTTACATAAATTTAAATTTACATCCATTCAGGCCTGCAGTGCATTTCAAATAAGTTGGGACGGGGGCAATTTAGGACTAGTAATGAGGTAAGAACACTTTTTATTATGAACTGATTTAAAACTGCAGGAGATGGCAATCGTGATTCGGTACAAAAACAGCATTCAGGAAAGGCCTAGTCCTTCAGGAGCAAAGATGGGTCAAAGGTACACAATATCTTGAGAAAATCATTGAAAAGTTTTAAAAAACAACATTCCTCAGAGAGAGAAAAGAAAGGATTTGAATATCACAGCACATAATGTAATGAAAAAAATCAAGGAATCTGGAGGAATTTCTTTGCATTAAGGGCAAGGACACGAGCTTACGCTGAATAGTTGAAGGCCCGTCATCTCCGATCACTGAATCGCACTGCATCGAGGGCATTTACCTAAAAGTTACAAAACATTATGTATATTAGTATTTTTTGCATATTTTTTTCTGCAGGGATGGAAAAAAAAGAACTGAGGAAAATGCATGAGGGGAGTAAGTTTTCTCACTTTAAAGAACTGGTCCATGATTGATGACATTCCTGCTGGTGTGTTTTTATCACGATGTGTTGGCAGTTGTTTTCGCTCTGCTCTTTTGTCATCTGTAGAAGAACGCTTGGAGTGCAGACAAGATAAGATGGTGTAGTCCCCGTACCAGAACCTCTCCAAAAAGTCATACCCCTCTGGTGCCAGCCTGAACTCTATTATTGTAAATGAATTATGATTCATATGTGCCCACAGATGATTGGCAGCTCTGGCATGTGGGAAAGACAGGATAAATCAGAGTCAGAACCTTCTAGAAAAGTCTAGTGGTGTCAGCAGAATACAGTACACCGGGCCCAGCTTCTGAATTCATGATCACATTCAATATCAGCGAATTCAACATTTTCAAATAATTAACCCTTGGAGTACTGAAATAAATGTTCAAAAAATTCTAAATTACATTGTCTTGTGCTGTTGAAAACCTATCGTGGGGCGACTTGTTTTATCGAGCTCCCTGTGCCACAGGATAGGTTTTCAACAGTTTTTGAATACATCAGGGCTATTTAACATTATCCTGCAAGGGTCGGTGTGGGTGCGGGCTTTCATTCCAACCAAGCACTTACACACCTGGTACTACTAATCAAGCTCTTTAGCAAAGACTCTTGGGGTTGATTAGTAGAATCAGGTGTGTAAGTGCTTGGTTGGAATGAAAGCCTGCACCCACACCGGCCATTGCAGGTGTTGAATAGCCCTGATGTATTCAAAGCTGTTAAAAACCTATCATGTGGCGCAGGGGAGCTCGAGTTACATCATTGAGCAACACGATTTGTATTTAGCGCTCTAAGAGTTGATGTACACAGTTATCTGTGACCACCTCTAAGGAGAAATTCTTTGTGGTACCTTGTTATGGCCTTTCCATGCATGTCATTTTTACAGATTACCGTATGTTCGCTGTGGCATAAACAAGAAAAAGTTTGCATTGATCAACATGAAAAGCCTTCCCTCACCTTCTGCATTTCATGCCGGTGATGATAAAATGTGGGGCTGTCATCACTGATGCGAAATGAGTCTGGATCCTGGTGCTGTCCTCAGGGGAATGAGCATTGCAAATGAGTCTCACCCCCGAGACAATCACGTCGCTTCGGACATTTAATTGCCCAGGTCATCTGAGGTATCTTTTCCTCAGGCCTCTGCTCTGCTCCTAGACCTTTGGATAATGCTACATTATTCAACCGATGGAGTACAATAAATAAATAAATGTACAATAGCCCTTTTTGCAAGAATTTTTGAGCAGTTTTGTTCAAATTTTTAGTTTTTCTCCAAACCCAAACTTGGAGAAACTCAGGATGATATGGAAAATGCACCACACTGATTCAGTTTTGTAGTAATATAGAAATTAAGTTTGGGTCCGTTAACTTGCTTGTGGCGGATCTTATCACACAACAATATTGGGTCATTTTTATTATTTCATCTAGCAGAGCAAAAGGGCAAGAAGGCACCGTCATGCAATGCAAAATTTAAGGCCGGTCATGGTTTGTTTTCCCTTGCAGGGTGGATGGGGCCAATTTGCACTCTGTTTCTCTGTTTCGATTTGCGTTGGTTTGCAATTGCTGCAACCGGTGTGTGTTCAATAGAAAATTATTCCAGGATCAGACTAAGCACAAAATATGTCAGGATTATTTTCTCAAAAAGTTAAGTACATTGGTTGATAGTTGGACTTAGTGAGTACATACACTGCTTACATGTAAAGAAACATGTAGTAACTTGTTTAATGTTCTTTTTTTTTCTTAAAACAAGTTACTAGTTGCTTGACAAGTGAAATTTACTTATCCCATTGGCAAGCTAGTCAAAATTACCTCAAAACAAGAAAAATGGTGATAGAATAAGTGTTTTAAGTCTTAAAATAAGTAAATTCATCTTACCTCGTATTTTTATCTTTCATTTTTTTGCAGTGTGCTGAGTCTCTTGCCAGTATTCCCTGCACACAAATTGACAAAATATCACCGAAATTCCAAAACAAAATGTCAAAAAATACTGAATTAGAACATTGAGCTAGAAACATGAATGTGTAGATAGAGAAAGCATGTTGCTATATCGACATTAGTAACTAATGTAATTATGAGCTTAAGAAAGTTAAGATGTATTGTTTTATTATTTTTTTGCTCAAGTAAACAGCAAGCTGTCTTTCAGAATAAAATTTCACAGTGCTTTCATGATCACTCACTTGATTCTAATGAGAATTGTGCCACACTTGACAGCGGTCAGCTCCCTTCAAACCGCAATCGTGATTCGACAAGAGCCATGTCACATGAACCAGAACGCATGCTTGATAGGTGGAGAGTGCATTTAGTTTTTTATGAAAGAATATTGGTGGCATTTGTTGGGTTTTTGCCAACCACTCGTAATTTGGTGACTGATTAACAATCGGATATAGCGTACTTTGCAACACAACGATTTGGAAATAAACATCATGGGCACTATAGGCAGGGAAGCTTTCACTCTGATCTCAGGTTTCATTGAAGTGGTGTTTATCCTTTTTTGCATCGGTGTTTCTTTTTTGCATCTGAACTCATGTATTTCTAAATCACCCACTGGTAATTACAGGCTTATCGCCTTTTTTCTGTCAAGGGATAGTGCGGATGGCCCAGCACCACATATCTCAAGGTACCTGCCTTCAAACACATGACAATAGGCCTCAGAACAATAATTTATATTGCACCCTATTTTCACAATGATGGTGAAACTTGAATAGTAATGTATGGTTGAACAGAAGTGAAGTTTAGTTTCTTTTTAAAACAAATTTAATGATTTTAGACGTCAACGCATGGTTTTTTAGATGATGCTTGATCGACCTGTGGGTGACGTAGTCATTTATTAATGCCTCCTCTCTGATTATATTTAGTTCTGTGGGAGAGATATTGGGTTTTGCTGACGAACTGCAGTGGTTTTTGCTATTTATCATACCACTAGTGAGTCTCATAAATATGCAATACTGAATTGCCTTCAGGTGGCACGGTGGTGCAATGCTTAGCACTGCTGCCTTACAGCAAGAAGGCCGTGGGTTCGAACCCAGCCTGAGGCCTTTCTGCGTGGAGTTTGCATGTTCTGCCCGTGCTTGCATGGGTTTCCTCCAGGTGGTCTGATTTCCTCCCACAGTCCAAAGACATGCATATTAGGCTGGGATAGGCTCCAGCTCTCCCATGACTCCAGAGACGAGGAACTGGTATTGAAAATGGATGGAGGAATTGCCCTGAAAAGTCTCAGTGGCTGTTGCAGGCGGCATCGATTGAATTTCTGCATGAGTAAGAAGGCACTGTTGCCCTAATCAATGTAGCACTCATTTTATGAATCTGTTTTTGTGATGGCACGTTCGTTACCATCTAGTTTTATGAATTGCCCTTTTTATCTTTTTTTTTTGTGATGGATAAGCACCATTCAGAACTCAAGACAGTACAGTTCACGAGTGCCAAGTGATTGGAAAATAGCAAGGTTTGGTCTGTTATCAGTCAAGCAAGTAGGCCTTTGATTAGTCGTGTGCATTTAGTGATGAGATGAGATCTTAAACCGGGAAATCCAGCAGAAAGTTCTCCAATCCAAATGCATTTCTTCTGACGCAAGACACCTTATCCAAGATGAAAGATATTGAGTGATGACAGCACGCCACGTACAAGTGCAGACAGGGTTTTTTTTTTTTTAACTACATTGAAACTCCTGCAGGATCTTCAGATGTCTTGATAACAGTATTCTTTATGAGAAATATAAGATAGCAAACAACAGAGAATCAATTAGGAAACCACACTGTCTGCACTACACTGGTCTCACTGCTGCAGATCATTTTTGCTTTTATGGCTATTAAAATATCAATTTCATGTTTTAATGTTTAAACAGGAAGAGTGTCTATAACTGCCTTGACCTCCATATTGAAGAGAGAATCAAAATACAGAAATTGATATAACAGAATATGTTTTACACATATTCAAAAGGTCAACAATGGTCCCTAAATTTGTTGTTTATTTTTGAAAACGACAGTGTTACACATCGTGTACCAATTAGTCAAAGGTTCTACACAGCTGTCAGGAAGTCTCTGAACCGATTCATTTTGTTCATGGTGTTCAAAGAAAGTTCCTCACGGGATTTTGCGCCCAGTGAGATATGGCGTCGTAGAATAAATGAAAGACTTGATTATGAAGCAAGATTCAAAGCTATACCTACTGAGGATAAATTACAACTGTCGCTTATACAGATATAAGCTGCCGTGCAGGGTTTGTCTGTATAATTCATATGCAATTTACAGATATGATAAAGCAAATAGAACTTCTCGCCCTGAGATCATTAAATGGCTGCTCTTTAATTATAAATCAACAGTGGCCACCCACTCGCATGTGCCTCCATTCTCCTCATATGATTCAAATAGTAATTTTGAGCGGCTGATTTATGTGTATTCTTTCAGAGCTGCAAGACAGCTGCAAATTCCTTCTTTAATTTGGATGATTATGGCCGCGGGCTGTCATTGTAATTTCGAATCATTACCTTATCCGCATCACCATTCAAAACTCACTTCACCGCGGAGCGGTAATAACCTAGCCATGCATGTTAAAACGCCCACATTTCAGTTCATATCTAGTGACTGAAAAACAAAATAAAAACTTCAAGAAATAGTTTTAGCACTGAGCGTCCACTCTATACATTTTTGATGGGCCTTTCCTGTGTAGAATTGTCCCCCAACCATGTGAAAGCACCATTTATTCCGCACAATGATGGCTGGGAGTTCGGAGCTTAAATTTCAAGCAGTAGACTCTATATTTAAGTGCCACACTCAGATGCACTCGCCTAAGATTAGCATATTACTGAAATCATTGAGTATAATTGGTAAAATGCTTTGCAAAATGTGTTAATATTCTCTAAATTACAAAGGCAAATAACAGTTTGCCATATTTTTTACCTTGGAAATGTTATTGAATGATGAAACTCATTCATAAAATATGTGCCAACCTCTGTCGGGGTATGTTTGCTGACTTCAAGCACCTTGGTCTGTTTGAGTTTCATGTTCTTTTCTGGGAATGGTGAGTATATCCACAGAAACTATGGGATGACATCAGGTTTCAATAAAGGATTGAATGAAGAACACAAAAACTAATGAAGCAGTGTATAGTTACAGTAGTTCCATCCATTCTCTATACCGCTTCTTCCTCACTAGGGTCTCATGGGAACTGGAGCCTATCCCAGCTGACTATGGGCGAAGGGCAGGGACCCACCCTGGACAGCTCACCAATCCATCACAGGGTGCAATTTAGTACTTCCAGTGAGCCTGGTGTCTATGCCTTTGGACTGTGGGAGGAAACTCATGCATGCGTCGGTAGAACATGCAAACCCCACACAGAAAGGCCCCAGGCTGGATTCAAACCCACAGACTGTTGATGCGAGGCATCAATTGGAAGTTGATATTGGCATAAAAGGAAAGACGCCATATGGTTAAATGTAATTTACAACAGGGTAATGCATGTATCGAAGACAAAAACAATGACATGAAATGGAAAAGGAGAAAACAGCCTTCCGCTGATAATATTCCAGAAGGTAAAAAAAAAAAAACTTTGATCTGGGAACAGCTGCACAGCATCCTTATTACCGGTCGAGAGAGCTGATAATTGCTGTAAATAATGCCAGCATGTTTTTTTTTCAAGACACAATTAAACTAGTAAACATCTTAAAAGATGCCTCGGCAAATACCCAAGATAAGAATAATAAATGGGGGTTCAAATACCTTTGGGAAACCAGCGACTGCTCGCACAGATAAGTGCCAGAATGTCATCGCATGCCCCTGTAAACGAAGAACTGATTCCAACTAAATCGGGTTGGCGACATCCATAACCCTGCCCCAGTAAACTCCTGTATAAATCATTCATCTGTGGGTCAAGTTTAATCACACCATAAGTCTTCTTCAGCGGTAAATGCGTTGCAGCATTTTAGCTTTGTGGCAGTTAATTTGAAAATGGGAACCCGAAGCTAAACACCGTTCTCAACACTTGTCGTCTAACTCTAGTTGTTTTGGTGGAGTGTCAAATGGTTCAGTGCAACAACAATAATAATAATCATAATCATAATCATAATAATGGCTTAGCAAAGGCATAGTGGGTTGTTATTTTTTATCGTACTTGGGCACTGGCCTGAGAGCCTGTAGCGACTTGAGTGTCTCCCAAAGGTAGAGCTGCTGCTTCTCTTACTCTCTGAGCACAAGCGGCTGATCTGCGACACGTGTTTACCTGGGGAGTAAGATGGCTTGTGACAATACCATTATAACACTGACCACTGCGCTCTGACAGCCTTTGGCGCTGAATCCCCATAACAGGGAAGCTCATTGTCATCATACTGCCTGACAAAAACTGCCAATATTATTTCCTGCTTCTCCATCTACTGTAAAACCACTCGATAAAACAAACCTCCACACACCTGCTGGTATATCTAGACTAGTGAGGACCTAACAAAGCAATTTTTTTTAATCAAATTACTACTCTGCTACCCCCAAACTCTGAGGCCAAATCCTGATCTTAACCCATTCCCCAACTCATACCTTAACCATTACCTACAGATCCCCTAAAGTGACCTTAATTGTATCCTTAATTTAACACATGCCCTTAAACTATAGCCTAATTCTGATACCTAACCTTAAAATTAGACTTAGTCCTGAAAATAAGCCCTATTGTAATGCTAGACCTGAACCCAAACCCTTGGCCTAGAATTAACCTTTACGTAGACAGGACCAGAAAAAAATCTTCATGAGTCAGTTTTTCTTAAACTTCACTATAGTTGTGTGGTCTTTTGTCTCTAACAAGCACAGGAGAGCAAGCACACACACACACACACGTGCGCGCACGCACACACACATTTGAAGGCATAAATGCTTCAAATTCCATCATTCCCCCGATATGCATCTAAATTCCTCCACGGATGTCCATGGCTGAGTGAGTGAGTGAGTGAGTGAGTGGCTGACTGACTGATGAAGTTACACCATTGGTTGGCTGGCCCAGTGTACTCTCCCCCATTGGTCGTTGCTTTTTCAAATTGATTTGGCACAAACAGTTTCTATCACATCATCAGGGTGCATTCAAACCAGATTCAGACAGACACACTTTTACAAGTATTACAAAGATCGACTAAGAAAATTCAAAGGGAGTTCCTGATAACATAGGTTAATGAACAGGACCACTCCCAATGCGCTGTCCTATTCATCCTTACGTCTATATATACCACCTACATTCCCACAATCCCTGCTCGTCTCGTTTCTACATGGTTTACTCGCAACCAGACAGCCCAGCGCACAGCAAGACTTAACTTACCTGAAGCATGAAATCTGAAATCCTACTGAGTCCCTCCGATGCAAAATTATTCCAAGACTTCGATGCTCCAGAGGAATCTTCCAAATCCGTTCCTGCAACTCCCGTTTCTCCTCCGCGCACCCGCCTGCCCTCCGCGATCTTCGTACCTTTGCCACGAAGCACCGCCCGCTCGCCCCAGCCGGGGCGCTCATATTCCCGACCACGCTCCCCCTCGCCGGCAAACATTCATGGATACTACGCATATCCACCTCACGGCCACTCGCAATGGTGCAGCTCACTAGTGCTTCACTAGCGCTTCGGTTATGGGTGCACTTTGCCTCACCGGCAAACATTCACGGATACTGCGCGTGTCCACCTCACAGCCACTCGCAGTGGCAAGGTTCACGCTCTCGGCCATGGCCCCAGCAGTGAGTGTCTATATGGATAAGTATCCACAAATACATGCAACTTACTCAATGCAAGACTGCTAGCTGTGGTCATTTCATGGGGCTAAGCTAGCGCCTTGGTATAGGAGCACGACGCTTAGTGGCGCTATCACAGATACTTTGTTAATATCGACCTCTCATCCAGTAGCAGTGCCACCACTCATCCGCAGCTTGTCTAATTACTGTCCTTGGCTTTATCTAACTATCCTGATCCCAAGTTCATCCGTTTCCTCATTCATGGCTTTACCCATGGTTTTCCACCCCGGCTTAGTCGCCATTCCCGATCACTCTTTCACGTGCACTAATTTACAATCCGCTCTAGC